TACAACTAACTACTAACCAGACAGAATGACAACATCAGCCTATACTTTAATCAGAATGTAAAGCTTGGCCTTTCAACACAAGCCACGTGTTTCTTTAACCTTCTTTACATTACTACGCCGATATGTTATGATTGTGTTTTATAACACTCAAGCTACTAAAAAACTAACTTAAGCAAAAAAAAAAATTATGAAACAAATCATTAATAGAAATTCCGAATGCCCACGCATTACTGAACAAAGCATTAACGAAATCTTCATCATTCACGGTCCAATATGTTTACTCCAAGTTTTCCCACTTTCAGTTTAATAACAAGTGATAAGCCTTGCATCTTTTTTACAAATATTATGCTTTGGCTGGAACTACAAATTCCTCTAGCATGTAACCAAATAATATATATTAAACATACTATTTCTAACTTGCCAATAAGCCTACTTATATCCCATTGACTGTCGAACATACGTCAGAATGCACCATCAAAACAAAAAAGTATTGGATAACACTCGCATTGTTTCTGAGACCACTAATATTGTTGCACTACAAAAAAAGTATTGGATAACAAACATTGTTTCTGAGACCACTAATATTGTTGCACTACAAAAAGTATCAGATAACACTCATATTGTTTCTGAGACCACTAATATTGTTGCACTACAAAAAAAAGTGTTGGATAACAAACATTGTTTCTGAGACCACTAATATTGTTGCACTACAAAAAGTATCAGATAACACTCACATTGTTTCTTAGACCACTAATATTGTTGCACTACAAAAAAGTATCAGATAACACTCATATTGTTTCTGAGATCACTAATATTGTTGCACTACAAAAAGTATCAGATAACACTCACATTGTTTCTTAGACCACTAATATTGTTGCACTACAAAAAGTATCAGATAACACTCACATTGTTTCTGAGACCACTAATATTGTTGCACTACATTAACAATGTTGTATATTTCATGTTTTTTTCCATTATAATTGAACATTTTCTAATTTTACTGATCCAATTCCACCTATAAAAGTTAATGAAGACCCTTTGAGTCAGCTTCACAGTTTTCAAAGAATGTTATTCATTTTAGATCTTAAATAAAAAACTAAGAACATAGGGACAATGTAATATTAATAAATAAATAAACTAATAACACTGGGACAATGTAATATTAATAAATAAATAAACTAATAACATTGGGACAATGTAATATTAGTAACAAAAACTAAGAACATGGGGACAATGTAATATTAATAACAAAAAAACTAAGAACACGGGAACAATATAATATTAATAACAACAAACTAAGAACATGGGGACAATGTAATATTAATAACAAAAACTATAAACATGGGGACAATGTAATATTAATAACAAAAAACTAGGAACACGGGGGCAATGTAATATTAGTAACAAAAAACTAAGAACATGGGGACAATGTAATATTAATAACAAAAAACTAAGAACATTGGGACAATGTAATATTAATAACAAAAAACTAAGAACATGGGGACAATGTAATATTAATAACAACAAACTAAGAACATGGGGACAATGTAATATTAATAAATAAATAAACTAATAACACTGGGACAATGTAATATTAATAACAACATACTAAGAACATGGGGACAATGTAATATTAATAAATAAATAAACTAATAACACTGGGACAATGTAATATTAATAACAAACTAAGAACATGGGGACAATGTAATGTTAATAACAACAAACTAAGAAAATGGGGACAATGTAATATTAATAGCAACAAACTAAGAACATGGGGACAATGTAATATTAATAACAAAAAAAACAAGGAATGTAGAAATGGTAGTTAAGCTGTTCTTAAAAACATTGAGTGTGTTTAAAGATGTGCAATTTGAGGAAATAATTCTTGCTATTGTAAAACACGTCATTTTCAAAGTAAATAACATGTTGTCAGAGTTCATATAATACCTTGTAGTTAAATATGAAGAAATTGCACCAGTTTAGTGGCTGAGTTCTTAATTAAACATGTGGCTAAGATCATTAATTTTATTTCAGGTACTAGGAGAGCTTGTTTGTGATTATCCTTTTCAGTTTCTTGTTTTCTTTTGAGGGTCATTGGCCATTACACAAGTGTCCAGTGTTTTAAAATGAATAGCGTTTCAGAAGTTCTTCAACGTCTAATCACTTGAGAAAGCTTGAGCCCATGGCTTTAAATGAAAACCACTAATCCAAATACACTTATTAATGTTTATCAGATTTAAAGGGTTTTAAATGTTCAATCCTTGTTTTTTTTTTAATTTATGGAACATTTTTAATAACACCTACATGTGTTTATGGTGGAAATAAACATAAATGGAAATCAATAAATACAGTGATCTTTCTTTTAACATGCATTCGTAAGTCACTCTGTACAATGATTTTTCCCGAGTGCAGCATTTAAAAACATTTTTAAACTAGTAGGATCTTCTTTCACCTCCTCAATTTTGGATGTTTCAGTTCTCATGACCAACAACAAAGGATACTAGTAATTTCTTCAGAAATTCATTTTGAGGGTTTTCCGAAGTATCTACTGCCTTTTGAAGCTGTTGACGAGCTCTTCTATTCCTTTCCACAGCTTGCTGAAAGTTCTTGGGAACCTGAAGCACTGACCTGAAGAGTTATGAAAACAAGTTATGTGATGGATCTACTACAGTGTTAATAAATTTCAATTTTATTTCTCTCATTACATACCATAAACAATGCTGTTAAATTCATAACACCTGCATAGAATAACAATGCATGCCAACCTGAAAAATATTCTGAGAAAAAAGAATCAATAAAACAGTAAAACTTAGCATTTTAATGTCAAGGTGTGCACCTGCACAGTTACTTTCAACGACATTAAGAACAAAGATTAATTAATGTCACTTAACCCTGTTCTAACAAAATTATTTCTTGAATCTTAATGTAACTACAATCTCACCGTGACTTAACCAGTAATCCAATCAAACTAACACATTTTATAAAGTGATTTATGTCATTAACCAGTAATCCAATCAAACTAACACTTTATATAAAGTGATTTATGTCATTAACCAGTAATCCAATCAAACTAACACTTTATATAAAGTGACTTATGTCATTAACCAGTAATCCAATCAAACTAACACTTTATATAAAGTGATTTATGTCATTAACCAGTAATCCAATCAAACTAACACTTTATATAAAGTGATTTATGTCATTAACCAGTAATCCAATCAAACTA